TTCACCTACTGTTTGACACATTACATCAAGGCCCGATTTGCTTTCCGAAATTTGATCTGTTGTTATTATTTTATATTTAAATATATTAATTAGACACGAAGGAGATAAAAAAATTCAATGAAACATCAAAATTTGCTAAAACGAAATGAATAAACAGGATTATAAAGGAGCATTTTTTATGGTACCCTATACTGGTTTGAAGGAGGGACTAGTACACATCCATCTTACCGTTGATAGTTTTAGGGTAGTACAGACATTTCCAGTTTTCGGGTAGACACATCCATCTCACCGTTGTGTGAGTTACATTGAGTACGGTGTCTATACAATGTGCTACTAGCTAGTATACATAACTTGAGACAGTAGTACAAGCACGTTCTTCTAAACCCGTGTATTTGCCGGACGCGGCTCATCTGACATGCAAGGGGCACGGCAGAACTGCCGTAGAGCACCATCCCGACCATTCTTAATCCACAAAACTGATCTGACGAACTGGGAACATACCAGTCGACGTGACGTACCAATATCCCAGTGCATAGTGCCTTGTATTCTTTGGCGCCAAATAGCTGCCCCCGGCTAAATTTTTTTTGGGATTTTTTTGATTTAATCATGGGCCGTGCTACGCATCGGCTGGCGGATTTTCTAAAATCTCCACCGCCTCGGCATCTGTCAGTTGTACAGCTCTCCATCATCCAACGCCGTTCTCATTATTGCAACAAGGGCAGGGTTGCGGAAATACTTTGCAACAAAAGCTTATGTTGCAGAAATCTTTTCCGACATAGTTGATGTTGCAAAAAAAATTCATCACTATTTTTGCAACATGGGTGTTGTTGAGGAAGCCAAATTGCAACACAGACAATGTTGCAAAAATATTTGTCACGTTTTTTCCGTCTTCATTTTTTTCCCAACATGGTTGTTGTTGCGGAAGACTACTTTGCAACACACGTGATGTTGCAGAAAGAGAGACGCGAAGGGTACGTGTACACGCGTCACATAGAGGAGGCGGCGGATCGCTTGCGTGCGATCCGTCGGGTGAAGGCAAAAGTTTCCCTTTTAATCATACCCTATCAGTAGCATAAATTACATACTGGTCCGAAGACCACCTACCTAGCGATGACTTTGGCTCAGCTCCAAATAAAAGCCGCTCGCTCATATTCCAAGCCCAACAATGCAGAGTCTCTCCACGGTCCACAACAGAGACGGATACACTCATTCGACCGCGTGCCACCCTGGACGCTGATCGGTAGTGCACATCATCGCGAGAGATGGCCATCAACTCTGAAGACGGTGAGCACGAGAGAGTGTTTGTTTTAATTTTAAAAAAGGTAATGTTTGTGGGCTGATGCTTCAGTGCTGAATTTGCATCAACACACTTCGATGCTTCTTGATTAAACTTTGCATCAGGGACGGTGGGTTGATTAAAACAATGAGAGAGCGTGTAGGAGCAACCAAGGTGGCTTTGTTTTGTACTTTCTGGTTTTGTTCGTGTGTCTTTTAGTCTTGGCTCTCTCTAAACTTCAGGCTTGCGCTACTCTCTCACCGTCTGCACACATGACATGTCACTTCCGTGATGATCGTCGATGGCGGACACCGCAGCAAACAGAGAGACGATGTGCACCATTTCCCATAATTGTTTCTCTGCCAGAGATTGCTTCTCTCTCTCTCTCATCTCTTTTTCATGTCGACCTCATATATGTAGTGTTGGGTAGTTAGGAGTTTACGACGATGTGGACTGTTATCATCTGGTTTTCACATTGACCTCACCTTCAATGCTCTGGAGTAACGACGACATGGACTGATATCCTCTTTTTTGTCATGCCAACGTCATAATCATTGCTGCATAGTAACAACTACTTGGACTGTTTTCAAATCTTCCCGAAAACTATGCTTCAAGTAAATGTTTGCACTTGCAAGACATCATGATGCCATCACACACGGGATCCATATACGAGACATGTGCAATATATGTTGAATCTTATATCAGTGAACAAAAGTGACACTTTTGACGTCTAGCTCTTCCACAGAAACACTATTTCAAATCCCAAATCTTGTGCATCCATATCATCATACCTCCAAAATTGAGGTGCCATGTGTAATAATGTGCATTTTCTATTTTCTTAAACACCAAAGCCCACTCAAAGGAGGCACATGCCTATGGGCCCGCTACATCGTCCGTGCATGTGCGCACGCCACACACATCGAAGCTAATGCCCGGTACTGTGGCAAAACTAGCATGGAATTTTACCATGGCGCTACTGTCATGTATGACTTGGAAACTAACGTGGCTACAACCGTGCAAGCGCCCACATCACCTGTGAACGTCCGGTCGATTTCCATGTCGAGACCATATCGAAAAGCTACATGGTCTGCTTTTGTCACTGCCAAGTGACAATTTGCTGCCCTGGTGGAAGCCAAAGCGTCGTTGGAGGAGGTCTCCGTGACTTAGGAAACTGGTAGCGTCATGTCGCCCGCACGTTCATCGTGCCTGCAAAGCCGGGGAAATGTTATCTCTAATTTAGGCCCTGTTTGGTTCATAAGTCCTAGAACTTTTTTTAGTCCCAACTTATAAGTCCCAAGTCCCTAAAAAGTCCCTATCTGTTTGGTTCCTGGGACTTATAAGTCCCTATAAGACCATATTACAACTATAAGTCCCTATAAGTCCCTCCTTGAGAGTCTTATTTCATAAGTCCCAAATGCCCACTTTAAGTCCCTATAAGTCCCTCCTGTTTGGTTTAGATGGGACTTATAGGGACTTTTTTAAGTCCCTAAGTCAATAAGTTCCTGGAAACAAACACCCTCTTAGTTTGATACCTAAGTGTCTGGTATAATTTAAATAGTTTAACTATCTCTATTTTTTGTTGAAAAAAAACTGCATTTACTATTGTTGATTTGGAAGTGAATTGCAGAGAAGTTCAACTTAATATTGGCACTAAATATTAGCAAGTTGGGTATCGAATATGGTGCACCCCGGCAAAATAACCCTTCATTTGTTCTGAGTAGTTGTAAATATGAAGAAAATGACACCATTTTCGTTTCTCAATAGATCACAAACATGTATACAACAACAATCATCAACAAACATCCATGTGGGCATAAAAAATCATCAACAAACATGTATACATCAATTTACTGATTTCCACCTGGGCCCCAACTCCGATATATGGTTGCCATGCGACGGCGACTGGTAGTGGGAAGGTGACAGCAGCTGCGCATGGTGTCTGAACAGGTCAATTGCCAGAGGTGGCAGGTCGCGAAGGAGGAGCGGAAGTAGCGGCGCACAGAGGGAGAGGAGGAATTGGCGACACACGCAGAGGATGGGAGGTGGTGTCGCACTAACAAGGACCTGACCAGCCGTCATCTAGGTCGAGAAGCTGAGGAGAGGAGTGGGACGGGGCGAGAGTAAGGCCAAACACTATTTAGGAGTGGGAGGGGGTTGGGAGGGGTTATGGACCAAATAATCAGGCTTTTTTGCGCACGAGTTAACTGGCGAGCAGCGATTAATCGGTCTTACAACCGATAAATCGGTCTGGCAGACCATTGAATCGACCCAACAAGTTAACGCGATGAATAAGTGTTATTCGAGACGGCCACCTGATGAGTAGCGACTAACTAGCCAATTAACTGATTAATCGTTCGAATTCTTCAACATTGAATCAATTAGTCTATAATCATTTGCTATAGCTCGATATAACTTCACTATAGAAGATTTTAATGGTTGTGTTGCTTTATCGTAGCATGCTATTGACTTCCTTGGTCCAACCATCAACACCTCCATAAAGCCGAGAACGTATCTTGTGCAAGCAGCGATCTCATGCACCGAGTGCACTGACGGTTCATGTACCATTGGATGTCAAAAGAAGGGACTAGATCCATCTATGAGGGGACCTGCCGGTCCATTTGCAAAACAGAACTTGAAGTTTAGGTAATACTATACGGATTATAAATGTTTAGCTTTCCAACCTACTGAAGAGTTTCAGCACGAGAGTTGTTTGGTGTTAAATGTCTATCTGCACTAAGGCACCAACAACTTACTTGAAATCCAACAAGCAATAGGCCCTGTCAAAATTGTTGAAGCTTCTCCCTTGTGGCCAGTTCAGATATCTTCCTCGGTGTACCACTGATCTTTCGCTTAACATATTGAAAAGCGCGACATCCAGTTGTGCACTTGTGCTACGTGGCCTTGTTCAACTGTCTACGTACTAGTTAACTTATAACAATCTTTACATTCCGGTGGCATGAGTGAAACATTGAACAAACGAATAATAACAAACACTATTCTGTTCTGAACACAACTACGGTGTGCACAACAGCAACACACTAGCTAGTACTAGCGTTCCCCAAATTTTACATATTGCATGCAATTACTGGTAGTTCCGTCGTCATCCCCGAAGCTACAACATAGCTGCACTACATTTACACGCTCGCCCGCGGCAATGGCATCTTCGGTGGACGCGGCCGTTTCACAGGAGAGGAGGGGTGCTAGTAACAGCGCCGGAATTACGTATACGAGAGAGGGGGGGGGGGCGTAGAAGGTTGAGTTGTCAAGGAGAGTTGGGGAGAGAGACGCGACTGAGCAAACTTGGCGAACCCAAGCTCGCAGCTCATTGGCCTCGTACAGGAAGAGGTACAGGAGGCAGGCAAAGAAAGATATGACAGGTTTGTTCAGGACTATTCACACAATTACCAACTCTATAACGTCCAAGATGTAAAATGTACGAGCGACAGGTCCATTTATACCTCATTCAATGGTTCACAATCTACCCGTGCATCTGGTGCACCAGTTGAAGCGTTTCACAGGATATGTCCTCCCATAAAGCCAGCACAATGTTCTCAAAGATCCACTAGAGCAACGGACCAACCGTCCTGCGTGCATGCTATAGTGCAAGACTCAATTAGAGCTTCTCGCATCGCCGCAGGTACGACTTTTTCTGCATATTGTGGTTCTGAACATTTGTTGGGAACCTGCTGTGGAAATCAATAAATGCCATATAGGTTTAGTGTCAATGGGCACCGCCATCGCTACGGCCTACACTATGGCGAGGGAGAATGAGGAGGATGGTTCGACAGTGTTCCGGCCAGGCACGGCGGCTTCGTCGCCGGTGCGCACTGTGGTGGCTTTAGCGTTGTGGCTTGGAGCCATCCACTTCAATCTGTTGCTTGTCTTGGCATCCGTCTTCGTCTTCCCCGGACGCATTGCCGCCTTGTCCGTCATCTCCTCCATTTGTCTTTTCCCCTTCCGTTTAGCTTAAGCTTTGCAATTTGTATGTAACCATGTTACTGCTTGTGACCTTGTGTTACTTCATATATGTGGAGGGTACTAGGCATGCAGCTCTTCTTCATGTTCGCTCCTGTGGGTAACACTAACGGATGGGGGCGAAACGTCGCCAGGTCCAGACAATTTCTCTCTTTTCTTGGCCGACCGGCCGGCCCGTTTTTCTTTCACCAATCTTTGCATCAGGATATCTCTGGATAGTGACTGTTACTGTTGCCAGGTTCATATGCAAACATGCGGCCGACTACTTCCCCATCACTTTGCATGTGGAGGACTATAATGCATTTGATCCCAATACAGCTTACGGTTTACTTTACTACTAATTTGCTTCTCTCCCATAGCTCTCACGCACGCAAGCACTACTCGAATTGATCTTTTTGTGCGATCAGTACTGATGGGATCTTTGTCTTGATTTGCAGTGTTTGGTTATGAGCCGCACTGCGCTATGCCCTTGGGCTTGTGGGTCCTTGCAGCCCCAATGGGGTTTATGCCTCTACCAAAGATGAAGATCTTAGCTAGTAGCGCGGTAGTTAACTAAGAACCTCAGTTTAATTAATGTTTATATTTGTCAGACTTATTCAATATTACCCCTCTTTACGAATAGTCAAATAAGTATGCATGACAACCCTAAAATATAGGGCCGCCGTAGATCCGATAGATCACAATTTAGATTCAGGAAACTCACTGGAAACAAAAGTTTAGGTGCGCCCCTCTGATGTGCATGGACCGCACCAAAGCCCCAGCGGTATTGGTTGTTATCATGCTACGCCGTTGACAAGTGCTCGGCTCCATATGGCTGTGTGCAATATATGCAATGACGAAGGGCATGAAGGAATATTCCCTATAAAGTCGACTTGGGAAAGTCACTATAAAGTCCTGGGGGATGATGCACAGGTCCCTATAAAGTCGTCTTCGAAAAAGTGGGCAGCTGCGCACATGCATCACAGAATTATAAAGTCGTCTTCGAAAAAGAGATTAGACAGCCACGCCGCACAGCTAACACACGAGCTATAATGAGCCGGCTTTATTTCGAAGCTTTTTAAAATAATAAATTAATTCTGGCCATAAATTGACTAAAAAATATGAGTTATATTACAAAAAAATGTACAACATGTCTTTCGTATTTGAGAGAAGTTCCAACAGTGTGAATTTATGGCCTATAAAAATTTATATTATGTAGCATGCGACCAAGCACCCTGTGGTGGTGGAAGAGCACAAGTCACTGAGCGACTTTTTTTATCATAATTACTAATTAAGTATATTTAATAAAGGTAAGAAAACTAGCGATCGGTTCCAAGTCAGTGGCTAGTATAAGAATTGCAAAATCATTGGTTTTGTAACTTTCAACTTAGGTCAAAAGGAAAGCAACTAGATTTCTCATTTGCTTTGTCGCAAATACAATTGCTATGTATTAGTTGTACATATATTGCTGTCAAAAAAATTAAACCTGGAATCAAGAAAAAAAGGTTGATTGGTGTTGATATTATTCCTCTAACAATTAATTATTGACTATTTAATCAGGCATTCTACACACCTTTCCAGCGGCAAATATGGACCTGGCTAGGGTTAGTTCCGGCGTCGAGAAAGAACTTCTCCTACTATCTCGGAGCCGGCTATAGTTGTGCCGTTGTGCCAGGAGGCCTGCGTGAGATGCTATATATGGATCATGAACCTGACTCGGAAGTAAATTTCTTTCCAACTTCTACAATCATGGACTGAAAACAAGAGTCTCGGAGCAACTATACTTCATGCTACTACTAATGAAAAATTTGCAGGTTGCTTTCATTAGATCAAGGAAAGGATTCGTAAGAATAGCCATTCAAACTGGTTGCCCTTTGGTCCCAGTGTTCTGCTTTGGACAAGTAATTAACTTCATCAGACACATTACTTGAATGAATTCCTCCTATAGTTTCATCGATATGCTTTTCAGGATTACTATGTTTCGATATTCAATTTGTAAAATATTTGTTCCCAATCATTTCTGAGTTACTCATGTTTCTACGCATGCATTCGGTAATCATCTTGAAAAATTCAACCACAAGTGTTCTTTCATTATCATCTGTTTGCTTAACCAGGATCGTGTTTACAATTGGTGGAGACCCGGAAGTAATTTACTTGTTAAGATTGCTGGATTACTCAAAGCTCCCGCAATTGTCTTCTGGGGTAAATTCGGGTAAATGCTAGTATGATTTATATAATATGTTTGTCACACCATTCTTTCAGTTGACACGATGTCTCTTTCAGTAATTATGTGATATATAGAATGTTTCCATTAGATTAAGATTAAAGAAATGGGGTTTTTACTATATCTTATAAATACTCTGTCATATGTTTATTCAAAATGGAAACTTTAGATACCTGCAAGTTTACTCATACATAATACTCTGATGCAGAACCTTCATACCATTTCAGTTGCCTATGCATGTGTTTGTTGGAAGACCTATTGAAGTAACGAAAAATAACCAACCTACAATGGATGAGGTGGCAATCCTTCTGCCTTATTCTGTTGATGTATTATAATTGATATGAACATATTTCCTATAGAGGTAAATCGACAATGATCAAGGGGTGGATGTAAGGGTAATAATATGTGCTCTGTAGCATCTGTATGTGAGAAAGAAACATGATTTGGTATGTCACAAAAGAAAAAAAGAAATAGCAATGACAAGATGGCTTAGAGATTTTTGGGTTGCATGAAATGAAAATTGTAGAAATAAGAAAGGAGGCATTAGAATGTCATGCAATATGGATTTCTACATGGACTAAAAACGTAATAACAATGTCTTCGGATGCTTTGTCCAAAACACATGAACTCTCAGGGAATGGGGGTAGAAAATAAAGATTAGTCTAGAGAAAGCGCATTTGACATCCAAAGTATAAAATATTAAGGATTTTCCTCGTACTGGATTTCCTGTGGGATTGGTGTCAAATGAGAAGTCAAATGTCATATACTTGGGCCCACATATTAGACATGATGTCGAGCAAATTCAAGATTTTTTATTGAGTGGTAGTTTGCCCCGGTACTTGTGAAATAAAAATACCAGCAGCGGTGTTCTTCATATAAGCCTCAATTTTTGTGCTCCCGGATATTTACTTAAAAAAAACAGTGAAAAATTAGCGCGCCATTAATAGCATAATAGCATGTTATAGCGTTCCGAGCAATATCTTGCTAAGTAAATCAGTGTATAATGTCTCGTTAATAGCACAATATAGCACCGTATGGCACGCTAAATAGTGTATTTTAAGGGCCACGCAATTTCATTATAGCATTCTATTTTCTCATTGATACAAAATCATAAAACTTGGAGTAGTTTGGTATTCCTATGAAATTCCCATAATTAGGCAAAGATAACTTTTATTGCAACTAAAAGTGGCAAGTAAAAGGCGTAGTAATTTTTGTATTGCTTACGAATTAACATGGGCTGATTATTTTCAGTCTTTAATGATGCCTGGTACGTGATGACTGCAGATAAATGAAGTGCACGAAAAATTTGTGATGGCTCTGCAGGAGTTGTTCAACAAGCACAAGTATAAAGTTGGATGCCCTAACCTCCAACTACAAGTCATATGAGGCAACAAGTCTTGCTCAACATGTACGAGAATAAATAGTCAGCGTTGTTACCTTAAAGTACCGCAAAAATTGTGTGCTAGATAGAGCCAATACATGAAGGCTCAACATTATCGTTTTTCTGAAAGGGACATCTGTATGCTAATGATGACTGTGCATGAATGAATTGTTCTCATTTTACTTGATGATGTTACTCATACTTTAAATAAATATGATTGTGTGCATTGTAACTATGCAAAGGCTGGGGGTTTTCAACTTCTTTCCAAACAATTGGAAGTGTCATCTATATGCTGACATTTTCTTCTGCATCATCCGACCTGGTAGAATATTCAAAATTCAGTATGAGCGGAGGGTGAGGATTGGAGGTAGCCTTGTGCAAGCATCTTATATGAGATAGCGCCACATCAGAAGCTAGGAGCGCTAATTGTTGGCACTATACCGTCAAGTTCTCATGTAAAAGGAGTTTTTAATGATATAATTTTGATATCATATATTTTGTTTACTATTAATTTATCTGTACCTCTTGGCGTCTCTCATGACTGCCCAGTAAACTAGGGTTTCTCTACCTCCCGTTGGCACCGCCATCGATCCTCCTCGTCTCCGGTGTCTTGGGGCCATGAAGGCGCGGTGGATCTCATCCCTTGCTTGAGAGAGAGTTCCTGCTCTGTTTTTAATTAGTTTATTACTTAAGGTCAATTACTGTTTGTGTTCTGCTCAAGAAGACAAGCCAGTGGTGGCTCCCTGAAGATGAAATAAGTCATCTTCAGCTAGTCCCCGTCTTGACAATGCGTCTAGCATTGTTGGAAGTGTGTTTACAACGCATGTGACGCCCGGGAAATTAAGCTACAGTGATCCTCTACTAGTGATGCCACATCACCTCAATTACAGTTGCTAATCTTGAGTTAGTTCAAAACCGGTCCAAAATTCAAAATTCAAATTAATGATAACAATAAAAGTTTTCAAAAATTAAAACTAAAAAGTTCGGTGGTTGTCAAATATTACATCGGTAATTATGGTGGAGTGCACACATTTTTATAAAGTGTCTGAATATTTTAAAATAAATTAAAACAGAAAAGGAAAAATAAGAAAAGAAAAAAACAAACAAACCGAATAAATAAAGGGAGGGGGGAAAACCCCCTGGCCAACTGGGCCAAACGGCCCATCCGGCCAGCCCACCGGCCCATCCGGCCCCCTCACTCCCTTAACCCCCCCCCCACTCCCCGACCGAACCCTAGCTGACCCCCACTCCTCTCTCCCCCTTCCCACGACCCTCGTCCCTTCCCCGATCCAGATCGGGATC